CTTTTGTAGTTAAAGCCTTGTTACTTTTGAGCGTTGCGTTTTTTATGATACGGTATTTTTGGAGATAGATAGAAACAYCCGTCATTAATCTAGTTGTAGAAAAATCTAGATTAGTAGGTTGTTATTTAACTTCTCGGTAGCTGATTTGTAAACGCTATTCTATTACCCCTTTGTTGGGTGAATTTTTGTATCAAATCTTGGTTCTCATTTTATATTTTCGGTTCAAATTTACCTTTTGTTTTAGGGTGTTATAGTATGTGAAGATATATATAAAAACTTCCAATTTAATTTGGTTTTGTATTTGAGATTTAGCTTTAGATTTAGATTTTGGTTCTGAAATTTTTGTATATGAAGACTATAACTCAACCGTAAAGCAATCGTCTTAAGAAAATTTAAATCTCCATGAAACAAAAATCCGTTGCAAAAATGTTGGAACCAGGCTACGCAAGTAAATTAGCATGTGGATTGTGGAATTAGGCACAAGATTGAAAGAGAAATGGTTTAACTATGACTTGTTTTTGGTACTCGAGTTCTAAAAATGATGTATTTTATTTTTATAGAGGGGAAAAGAGTTTATTGTATATGTATAGAAATGGAAGGGACAAAAGTTCATTATTTTCAACAATAATTCAACACTTTAAACGTGAGTATCTATCTATGATTTTTATTTTATTTTTCAAACTACTATTACATAAAATACATAGCTTTTGGCATGTAGATCAATTGACAAAAGGGTAAAATGATTTTGTCCAAATACGAGACAGGTCCCAAGTTTAATCCTCCAAAACCTSAGCCGTTGAGTGAGTCAAAAAATATCCCTCATCTTGGTGTCTTTGAAGGCGGGTTTCGTATGGAGCTGGTTAAGATTACCGGATCAACGTTTTAGCCAGAAGTATATAAAACTTCATATAGCCTTTCCMAAAGATTAAACTTTTATATAATTTACGGAGGTATRATTTAATTTTAAACAAATTATTTAATTAAATATAAATAAAATAAGGATTTATTAATCAGGTTAAAGCCTGAATGTAGCGACGGAGCTAAGAATATATTTTAAGAAGAGTCATTTAATAAATATATTTTTTTTCAAAATGATGAGCATAACAATATTAATTTTCTTGTCCACGATTTTAATTTATTTAAACTATATAATATGAGTTGGGTTGATTATATATATATATATATATATATATATATATATTTGTAATTGGGTTGTCAATTGTTGGGCAAATGTTAGACTTGATTGTATTCATTTGTAGTTGAGTTGTCAATTGTTGGGCAAACATTAAGCTTAATTCATTTAGAAATATTCATTTTATAGTCGTTATAATTTTTTAAAAACATAGGCTTCTCAACTCGTTCAAACCTTTACACTTAGAGTTTTAAAGTCTAGTGTCCACAGCCCTCCCCCTGATGAGGCATCTCTTTGGGAGCAGAGTGGCGGAGGACGGAGGAAATGTCGCATCTTTGGTTTCGGGACCACCCATGATTCCTCTTATGCTATGACGGGTAGATGTAGTTGTAGCGAGTCATCATACGAGTCAAGAGAGGAGGTATGTTAGTTATATTGTTATAAACTTTCTCATTACTAAAATTACGAACAAATTACTGATTTTCTTGAATATTGAATATTTAAAGGTAACGGAGTTGAGAGAGAAGTTGGCAAGGGTAGAGGAGGAGGCATAGCTGGGGGAGGAACGCCATCTGGCCGAGATGGAGGATGAACGGAAGAAGAAAGGCAGATTTGGAGGCCGAATAGGCCAGACAAGCTGTTGCATTAGCCGAACAGACTCCCTTATCGGAGCATTTTGCTGCGTTTATACGACAGTCAGGATACGTTTTCCCCCCTCCCCCACCTCCCGGTAGTTAGATTGTATGCATTTGAAGATTAAATTGTATGAATTTGATATTTTCAATCGTATGAATTGGTTAGTTTTAATTTGTTCACAGTTTTGTTTTGCTATATTATAGTCAGGTTTTGTATAAGTAAATACATAAATTATGTAATTTAAAAAAAATTTAATTTAATACAAATTAGCGAGGGAACATCCGTCGCTGAAAGTCCTTAAAATTCCCTCGCTAATCCGTCGCTGAAAGTTCCCCTGCTGATCCGTCGCTGAAAGATCCCTCGATAATCCATCGCTGAAAGATCCCTCGCTGAAAGTTCCCCCGCTGATCCGTCGCTGAAAGATCCCTCGATGATCCATCGCTGAAAGATCCCTCGCTGATCCGTCGCTGAAAGTTCTCTTGCTGATTCGTCGCTGATATATTCTCTCGTTGATCCGTCGCTGAAGCTTTTCCCTCGCTGATCCGTCGCTGAAAGTATCCCTCGCAAATCCTTCTTTGATCTTTCGCTGATAGCATTACCAACGAGCATTTGACCGACGGAGTATCAACGACGAATGACCCTTTTAGCGATGGATTTGCAAGGAAAACTTCCCTCGCTGATACTCTGCATTTTTGGCAATCGATTTTAAAATAATCTTTTACATGATTTTTTTTCGTCAAATGCTAAGATTTAAGATATTGGATCACATATGTTTGTTTCATAATGTGATAGTTTCATATGTATTTATTTCACTATATTAAACAAAACAAAAAAGTTTTATTATGTAATTTTTTCATGACGTGAATACAAACATATATGAAACAATATCTTAAATCATAGCTTTTGAAATGAGATGTTTTATCAATTATATAGTTTACCAATTAACATATTTTTCTATTCAGACTGACTCGACACTTATATGACCAGTCGTATTAATTATTTATGACTTGTAATGAAATTAGATCCAAACATGTACCTTCAGTGGAAAACAAATTACATTAACACACTTGATTACGACATTTACTACAATTTATAATAGCTTTTGATGTTGCCTTAATATATGATGAAATTGACATAACATTATCGTGCAAAGAGGCCATGCCCTTTCACTATTTGTCAAAACATAAATAATTTTATATATTATGCCCCACACGATTACTACGTCGGTCTCTTCGCATATATTTGTGAATACGTCCGTTAATTTATGATAACCTTCAAAGCAAAAAAGGTGACAACCAAGATATTATGTCATAACCCTAATTAAAACTTGAAGATTTAAATTCTCATAATCAGAATAAGAATTAGAATTAAATCTTGTACGACTTTTTTGCATTTTGTTGTACTTTTCTCGATCCATATTTGACCGAGTGTAGTAACTCTCAGTCGATATTTAATTTTAGTTGACTTATGATCGATTTTACGTACTATTCAAAATTATTACCGGATTCTTATTTGATAGGTATAAGTTAAGAGATCTATTAAATGAAAATTCTAGAGAATGGATTGAAAAGACTTTTGGTTAAGTTTGAAGCTCAATTAAAAGCATTATTAAGTGTGAACATAACCATTTGAAGGGAATATTTTTGGTGATGTGATCAACGTGCCAAAAGGATTCATTTATGATAATTCAAGTTTCAATGATTTATTAATAAAATATTCATAATTTAAATTCCGTTTAACTTTTTGAGTATGCAAACCATATATGTTTTCTATTTCTATACGTTTAGGTATGTTATCCATATAGGGCTATCACATACATACATACATATACATACATACATGCATACATATATATATATATATATATAGTTGGGTTCATCTGAGACCAATCTGTTTTTATAAGACTCGTGAGACCACATTTTTACACTTGAAATTTCATAATAACTCATGATGAAGGTAAAGAAAATCTGAACTTTCACAACAAAAATACAGTAAGGTTATCTTCACAATGATTTACTGTGAAGTTTTAAATGTAAAAAAGTGGTCTCACATGATCCCATATGTATATACACACACACACACATACACATATACATACACATACACAAATGGTTCTTTCTATAGTTAGAAACTCTATGAACTAATATTAACCACACATATTCAACTTCTATAATTATCTTATCAACCGTTCTTTAATAACTCATTATCTATTTTGCTTTTGAAACAAACAACAATATTGTTTCACAAATGAAATAATACATTGGTTGATATGTAATGGTTAGTTTTACTTATGTTGTGTAGTTTCAATCAATGAAATATCACATGAGTTGATATATATTGATCCATTTTGATAATACAATATTGTTTAACCAATGAAATAAGATATAAGGTTGGTTTATTTTGAATACAGTGTCGTTTCACCAATGAAATAATACATGAGTTGATATGTATCTGTTTTGATAATATAGTGTTATTTCACCAAAGAAACAACACACATAGTTGGTCTGTTTTGAACACAGTGTTCGTTTCACCATGAAAATTACATCGATTGAGTGAGTTTAAAAGGGGGAAATGAGTTTTTAAGGAAACAATTGATAAGATTTTTAAGAGAATTAAATACGTGTGGTCAATATTAGTTCATAGGGTTTGTAATTTATAGGCAGTTTTTATTTGATTAGTCTCCTACACATACTTACATACATATATAAATACATATTTGCATATATAGATACAAGTTTATATATATGTATGTATGCATATAAAAAGAGAGAATTTTTTCCTTTCAAGTTGCCTTGTTATTAATTTTGTACATAAAGAATATTTGCATCTATGTAGTTGATGAACATGTACATAGAAAATTCAAATGCACCATTACACAATTTGCTACCTCCCTTTATTTCTACTACAATTTTCACATATGTACTTTATTTTCTTTTTATCACTTTCCCTATTCACATTTCCATCTATATCGAAGACTGTTTATCACCGTCTCCCTACAGTCTTCGTACAATTACAAATGAATTGGATCTAGAAAATCAATTTAGCTTCTCAAAAATTCTGTGCCCAATCACGTACGTATGTATCCAAGTCTATATCTCCCGAAAGGTTTTCTATGAACTTAAAAAGGTAAGGAGCAAAAACACTAACGATTGTATGCCGTATGGATTTGGGAAGTTTATCTTGAGCAGAAAAGATCATATAATCTCTCTATCTTGACATTCTTATTTTCCTATAATTGAAAAAGGGTGTTTTAGAAATCAAGGTACGGTAAGGAGGGGATATTTGCAAATAAACCCTCCAAATCCCATTCCCCCATTTTCAAGCTTTCTCCTGACCAATGGTTTTCAAGACCAACCACCTCCTCCACTTTAACTTTCCCATCAATATCCCCGTTGAAGTGGTGGTTAAAATTGGCTGATTTCTTATCAAACATGTAATTAGTAGCATTAGCATTAATATCTCCATCCATGACCCTACTCCCAAGGTTAGTATTGTCATTTTCCATTCCCATCATGTATGGTACTTCAAGAATACCACAATCACCATATTGTCCATCTCCTCCCATACCAACTTCTCCTAAGCATGAGGAAACATTAAACAAACTCGATGCATCACGATTGATGTTGTTTTGAAGGAGTGGTGGCAATTGACCAAAGTGATCGTGACCCTTGATAAGCATAGAATTGTTATGCATGGATGATGATGATGTGGTTGTGGTTGTGGTTGATGTCAGTGATGAGTCCATGCACATGGTCATCAGGTCATGATCATGCATGGACATGAACATACCAGCTCCCATGATATCTCGGCTTGGATCTGAGGATGTGTCGTCAGTGCTATTGTTTGGTGAGCTTCTAGAGACGTTGTTGTTTACTTTTAGTCTCTTCTTTATTGTGGAGTTCCAGAAATTCTTGATTTCATTATCTGTCCTTCCCGGTAGACGAGCTGCTATCTGAGACCACCTGCATTTACGTAAATAATGATCAATTAACACTCTTTATCTATTAGAAATTAACCACAATAAATTTGCTAGCTAAGTTAAATCATTTAAAATTAAATGATTATCCTTAAATACAGTAGTCCAATTAACATAGTTGGTTAAAGATCTCAAATACCCTTTCAAATATTGTATAATTAGCTCATAATAAACATTAAGTTAAAGAAAAAGAAAGACGATGCAACCCTTTTTTATTCTCGTTAATAGTGCGGGTAATTTATGGTTGTATTACTTGCAGTTAGCAATCCATTAGCAATTTAAGGGATGTTATACTTGTGAATTAAATTATAATGATGAATATTGTCTAACAAGATGGGGTGTTATGAGCAACATATATAACTTTCTCTTCTAGTCCACTGTTGAGTTTGCGCCCAACCTCAATTGATTTTGCGGGGCTTTGACTAGTTAATTAACACTTAGATAAACCTTCAGTGGCTCTAAAGGACTCGAGACTAGATACAAGATTAAAAAGTGAGTTTCAGCAACGATCGACATGCTTCAGCCACAAACTACAGCAACGGCATGTCATCTCTATAAACCGTTGATAATGATAAATAAACTTTTATCGACCAGAAAAGTCGTTGCCAAAACCCTATTCTTATGGTAGCAAAACAAGGTTATTTACTTATTTACAATGTGATTTTTTATTCAATAGTACCTACTAAATATTTGACATCCTTTTCAAGATATTAGAGGTTTGTAAAGTTTGATGTGTTTGAACACATAACAATAGAAAAAAAATGCTTCTTTACCTTCTTAAGCAAAACTTGATTATAAAGCTTCTATCACTTTCAGTAAAAGTTGTGATATTAAAGCGATGTGACATACAAATTAGGTTGTTATTGAAACCCATATATATATATGTATATATATATAGGGAAGAGTTCAAACGAGAACCCTTGTGATTTACGAGAATACGAGAACAACCAAATAACCATATATTGTGATAAAAAATAAAATTAAAAGATTTTTAAAACTAAAATTGAAATTTAAAAAGATTCAGAAAATATTAAAATTAAAAGGRTAATAATGRAAATDATATCATAAAATCTTTTAATACGATTACACGATCATGATTATCATTATCTAATAAACGGTTAATCATGTGATATGGGTGTGATAATCATGTGATTATCACACAA